GGGGCTGTGCAGGCGCGCGCTGGGCGTGGCGGGCATGTGCTACCCGCCGAGCCACCCGGAGGTCGCTGGGATCAAAAACGCGCTGGCGCAGGTGAGAGTTGAACCCGTGTCTTTCTCGGCGGCACCTGCGGGGCCTTTTATGCTGTTCAGGGCCGCCAAGATCGGGCTTGACAAGAGCGACTGCCTGCCGGGCCCGGACTGCCGCGCCGGCCCCGACCTGCAGCGTTTTCTAACAGAGTTTTCAACCGCCGGGCGGGCGCGCGCCGCTTCTCCGCAGGTGTTCCGCATGTCTGGCGCGCTGCCCGAGGCGGCGGCGCTGCACCAGGAGGCGCTGTCTATGCTGGAGGCCGCACTCGGCCCCGAGCACCACAAGGTGGGGGCTGCGCCCTGAACCCTGAACCCAGCTGCGCGGCCGGCCCTCAAATGGCGGCTGCATGCTGCAGCGGCTGCTCGGGGAGATCTGGAGTGCCCTCGCGCCGCGTTCAGAGCCTGCATCTTGTGCCTCTACGCCTGCCGGCCGCCCGGCTTGCTCTGTTTCTGTTGCTGGGTGCACCAGACAGCCCGCGCGCACGTGCGATCATGCACGCCCCCCCTGCGTCGCTCGCCATCGCCGCAGGTCGCTGCCACGCTGTCTTCCCTGGGGTCGCTGGCGCTGCAGCGGGGCAACGCGGCGGCGGCGGAACAGTACTACCGAAAGGCCCTACAGGTGTGAATTCGTGGGAGGGTTTTGCATGTGTGTTTTCCTGTGAACAAGTATGTTGGGCATGTGTGTTTGCTGCTCTCTGTGTGTATGCACCTGTGTGCTTGTGTGGGCACGAAAGTGTCGGAACGAGAGGAGAGAATTGGCGGGGGAGAGAGAGACGGGGGTGAGAGAGATAGCAATAGATTGACAAAGTTGCAGATGTGCGTTGACACGCACATGTGTGTCGAAGCGACAGCACACGTGTGCAAGCAGGGATGCACGCGCCTGCGCGTTACTGGGAGCGCGCGCGCAGGCTTGTGGGGGTTCCAGTGTTTGCGCCTCACGCCCTCCTCGCCTCGTGGCACCCTCACCCCCTCTCCAGGTCTGCCAGGCGGTGCAGGGGCTGAACCACCCCGACACCAGCACCTGCCTCACGCAGCTGGTGTCGCTGCTGCGCGGCGCCAACAAGGCCGCCAACGCGCTGCCCCTGGCGCAGCGCTGCCTCTCGATCAAGCGCCAGGTGCGCCAGGGCGGGGCCGCGCTGACATGGCGCCGCGCCCGCGCCAGCGGGCAACCGCGTCTCGGGCGGCCGGCTTCCGAGCGCGGCCGTCGCATCGCACACGATGCGCAGCAGCCCTGCAACCTGCAGCCTAACGGCCTCGCCCCTCTGCGCCGCCGCTGCCGTTTTCCCCCACCCGTGGCTGCGAACAGGTCCTGGGGGACACCCACGCTGAGGTGGCGGCGGCGATGCAGACCGTGGCTGACGTCATGCTGGACCTCGGAAGGTGGGGCCTGAGCGCAAACTGCTGAGGCTGCAGGCGCAGTTGCGGGGCGCTGAGGTCATAGACTCTCAGACTAGTGCTGTGTTCTGCACTGTTGGTGGGCGCTGCCTCAGCAGCAGGCTGTGCTAAAATTGGGGCCACCCCTGCCGCCCGCCTCCGCTCATGACCGCCACAATCGCACCGATCCAACTTCCACCAATCCAAAGGTACTCTGAGGTGGAGAAGCTCTGCAGCCGCGCCGCCAGCATACTGCTGCAGGCGCCCCCCTCGACCCTCGGCCGCGGCGGCAGCGCCAGCGGCGCCGGCGGTCTGCGGCCGGTCCTCGTCGCGCAGACGATGCAGGCGCTCGCGCTCGTGCTGATGGGGCGCCCCGCCGAGGCAGAGCGGCTGGCAAGAAGCTGCTTGGAAGCTGCGGAGCAGCAGCTGCCGACGGAGGGGCCCGCGGCGGCGGAGCGGAACCGGCTGGTGGCGTCCGCGAGCAACTGCCTGAGCGAGGCGCTGCGCGAGCTGGGGCGGCTCGACGACGCGGAGGCCGCCTGCAGGAAGGGGCTAGCGCTGAGGGAGAAGGTGGGCGGTCCGACGCACCAAGGCCGTGGCCGGCTGTTGCAGCAGGGGCGCCACCTTGCGTGTTGTCTCCCGTGTCTCCGGAAGATGTTGGTCACTGGCAAGTCACAGAAGACCGCCTGCACGGTTGCGAGCCGCCACTTACCGCCGCCTCAAAAGGCCCCCATCGTGGCTTACCTGGAATCAGCCATGACCCAACCCATATCCATTCACGCCCTCGCGTGCTCCCGCACACTCGCAGGAGTTTGGCCCAGACCACCCCGCGGTCGCGCTGTCGCTGCAGTCGCTCGCCCTTGCGCTGCGCGCAAAGCAGCAGCTGCCCGCAGCGGCCGAGGCTGCGACGCGGTGCCTGGGCATCAGGGCGCAGCACAAGAGCACGGCAGAAGGCCCCTTGATGGCGGCGGCGCTGAATCTCAAGGTGCGGTCAAGTCTGCGCGGCTCCCTGCTTTGAATGATACGTCAACGTCGACCCTGTTGTTAGTGCTTGACTTTGGACTCAACTTTGAAATCATTCAACCTAGGGCCGCCGGGGGACGTTGTGTGCTTTTTGATTGACTGCTCATCTTTTTCGATGATACGCACGTTCTCAAGCGCTTGTGCATATAGGGGTACGCACACACGCGCGCACGCGTACGCACGCGGGCGAGCACACACACACACACACACACACACACACACACACACACACACACACACACACACACACACACACACACACACACACAACTCCAGGCCCTGGTGTGCGTCGACTCTGGTGACCTGACTGAGGCGCTCAACCTGGCCCAGAAGGGCCTCGAAATCCGCCAGAAGACCCTGGCATCAGATCATCCCGATCTGGCGCAGAGCCTGGCCTGTGAGTGCACCGTGCGGCCCAGCTGCAAAGGCCACGCGGGCGGCATGGGGGGCCGACGCATCCGCGGGGTGTCTCCGCCTGTTTGTCAGGCCAGACAGGCCCGCGGTTGCTCTGAGCACCCCCCACCGCTCCAGTCTTGCGCACCGCGCAGGGCTGTGTTGTACGAATGAGCTACTGCGGCCCCCACCCCACCCAACCCCCATCCCCGCACCGCAGGCGTCGCAGAGACGCTGCTGCTGCTGGGGCGTCGTACCGAGGCAGAGCCTAAGCTGACGAGCGCGGTGCAGATCCTGATCGGGCGCCTAGGGTCGAGCCACCCAGCCACCCAGAAGGCGCATGTCATGCTCAAGGAGGCGGCAATGGCCGGCACGAGCAGCACCACGCCGCTCCTCAGGTCCCGTATGGGCGGCGACACGCAGCAGCAGCAGCAGCAGCAGCAGCAGCAGCAGCAGCAGCAGCAGCAGGGCGGAGCCGGAGGCGGAGGCGGCGACGCGGCGCGCACGCCGCAGCGCCCCGCGCCGGCGACGCCCGGGGACAAGGCCGAGGGCACGCCGCCCGCGCTGCCGAGCGCTCTCACGCTCAGCGGCGTCACCGCGGCGCTGGGGAGCGGCACGGATTACTCAGAGGACGAGGACTCCTCGTCAGAGCCCTCCCCGCCGGCGTCTCTCCGCGAGCAGGAGTCTGTCGGGCGCGGCGGGGATGCCGGGGCCGCGGCCCCGTCGTCGGGCGCGCGCGGCGGCGGTGGCGGTGGCGGTGGCGGCGGCGACGGCGACAGCGACGCGGGGGCAATGGACCAGCTGACTCAGCGAATAGAGTCCATGCGGATCAGCCCCAATAACATAGATGTGGCGGCGCTCAGGGACTTCTTGAAGGAGCACGGGTGGCAGCTCAGCAGGCTCTCCCAAGACCTTCCGG